ACGCAAGTTAGAATCAATGTGTTTTTATGCTACTTTTGTCATTTTGATTCAAAAAATGTTTTATATCATATTTTCTACTATCTTTATTCCACACAAGAATTATTTCATATTTGAAATATTTTTATTTTTCACTTTTTTAAACATTTTTAAAACAATAAAATGACAATTTTAGAACAGCAATCAATGTCAACGTCCATTATGTGCGTGTGTGTGTATGTGTGTGTAAAACGTTGCCTTTTCTCACTGATTCTGTTCATAACTGTTAAGGGCATAATTTCTAGGTGTTTTTTAAGCTGTTGAGGGGATCTGTTTTGGTGACCTTAGGATAACATTTCTGCTTTTTGTGGATGATGTGGTCCTATAGGCTTCATCAGATTGTGATCTCCAGCTCTCACTGGAGCGGTTCACAGCCGAGTGTAAAGCGGAAAATTCCAAATCCGAGACCATTGTTCACAAATGAGGGAAGAATGGAGCGGGAGATCGACAGRCGGATTGGTGCTGCATCTGCAGCGATGCTGGTGCTGTACGGTCTGTCGTGGGGAAGCGAGAGCTGAGCCAAAAGGCGAAGCTCTTGATTTACCAGTTGGTCTACGTTCCTACCCTCATCTATGGTCACGAGCTTTGGGTAGTGACCGAAAGAATGAGATCGCGGATACAAGCGGCCGAAATGGTTTTCCTTCGCAGGGTACCTGGACTCTCCCTTAGAGAAAGGATGAGAAGCTCAGTCATCCAGGAGGGACTCAGAGTAGAGTCGCTGCTCCTCCACGTCGAGAGGAGCCAGTTGTGGTGGTTAAGATGCCTCCTGGACACCTCCATGGTGAGGTGTTCCGGGCATGTCCCACTGGGAGGAGGCCAGAGGAAGATCCAGGACATGCTGGATAGACTATGTTTCTAGGCTGGCCTGGGAACACCTAGGGATTCCCCCAGTGGAGCTGGCCCAAGTAGCTGGGGAGAGGGAAGTCTGGGTCTCTCTGCTTAGGCTGCTGCCCCTGTGACCCGATCCCGGAGAAGCGGCAGAAAACAAAATGGTTCCTATAAGAGTGAGATCCTTCTCCAGGAGAAACACATAGAAACACAGCCACACAGATACAACACATACAGCAATTTTCACTAGATTGGTTAGATAGCTAGTGTTAGCTAACTTTGAAGTAGGCTAATATGTTGCTTCATGACAAAAACCACTGTCACAGTAGTCACAATTTACACACACACACACACACACACACACACACACACACACACACACACACACAC